TGTGCACCTTTGGTGGTTGTTTTGACGTGAAGGCTAGCTTGGGAGGCTCAGACCGAGAACTAAGCTGAGTAAAATACCGTTACTACATTATTAGCAAAAGGAGCTTTCCAGTGAATGAGAACTTCCGATGAAATCGGTTCACCTTGCCTGAATAACTGGATGCCCAACATACTCAGATGTTTTAAACGTGAGAATTTCTGTTTAAGATATTCTTTCACCATCTGTGCAGCGCGAGGCGTCAATCATTCTGCGTTTCGCAAGTCTGAAAGAGGACTGGGAAATGCCTTGCCTACCGAAGCTTCGCTACCTGCAAGAGGGTTTTGGAAAATAGTGTCAATAGCTGCAGCTATATCACCTTTTGTAAACGAAGAGGTATCAAACGCTCTGAAACTCCAAAATAGCAAAAAACCGCTAACATTCCTCCAACTTGACAGCTTGGTCTCGTTATGTAAATTATAATTTTTTGCTCACACAAAAAAAATTTTACTGTTCGCCAAATTTATTCCCAATGTCCAACGCAAGAATCAGCTGCGCTTATTGTTGTCGGGTAACTTAGTCAAATGTGGTCATCTTGGTCAGATTTATTAAGATCATCTGGCCCTCGTACATAAGGATTCCCCGGTTCCATCATAACACTGATCATGAAAGCTCCGTGCTTCACGTAAACTAGAGTTTGAGGCACGGTCCTGGCCTGGTTGTGAACACCTATCAGTCCGACATGTTCCAAGGCAACTATTAAAGTTGAGCGATGTGAGTCAAAGTGGTTCCTCCGTTCAGCATATGTTCTTAGTAAACGTGAGGATCCGATCAGTGCCAGGTATGTGTAAGACGCATTTTGATTGGGTTACCTATGTGATAGGATGGGGTTCATCCTTGGAATTCAATCCACCATGCGCTTCGTGCTGATTGGGGACAACTCACGCTTTATCACACAATATCATCGCGTGGAGCAAACCATATTAGCGCCCCGATTTACCGTGAGTGGAAGTGTCATCGAATTTTGTATTGTTCCCCTATTGGTTAGTCCTTTCTTTGTGGTGACGGAAGTCTTGAATAGCTTCTGTGGTGAGACGCTCGATGTGAATAACTAGGGATACAGCAAAACTCCAGCTCGGGAGTCCGTCATTGAGTTACTTGCCATTTTGAACATACGTTAAGAAGATTCCTTAATAAGAACTGGTCAAACGTCTGCAAGTGGGTTGGTGACCGAGCTG